TAAAATATCTTTATTCATGTCAATTACAGACTCTTATGATATGGCAGATCTACCATCAGTTTGGAATGATTTCGAGATGAGAAGAACTGACAAGAAACTCAGCTCGTATTCTCTTCAAATAAATGTTATACATGTTTACAATAATACATTTTTAAATTCAAATTTGGGAGAATAGAGTGACCACCAGCATATGCTACTGCAAAAGTAAATAGTCTAATCAGTGTTCGTAACTAGAATAGACCAGGTTGACTGGTAGATTGCTTATGGGAAACAATATAATATAAAAGAACTGTTGTCTTTTTTAAACGATACTTTGCTTACATTTAAGATTATGTAAATATCTAAAATCTAGGTACATTTAAGTGATTGTAATCCAAAAACATAAGTGCACAGCGTACATATCACACAAATTACCTGAACATTGTCTATTTATGGAAAATCATTCTTCTAATGCGATTAGAACATGTATTTCCAATTTTAACGCTTGACATGTCCGCGTAATAACCGTAAAGTACCAGGATCGCATAGCACAGCAGATGGTGTACCTGGTCTCTATATAAATCAGGGGTGGCCAACTTGATTAGACCGAAGATCTCCTGTTTACTATTGAAACCCTGTGCGATGTACCAATTACTAATGGAAATCTTAAATGAAACAATGTAGTATTTTTACTTAATTAAAAAAGAAAACATAAATGTGAAAATTATTCTCAGTAACTAGGTACTTATTTACCTATATATTGGTGTAAGTATTGCGTCTGAGCACCTTCCACTAGTTTAGTATTAATTAGGATTGTAGTTGGAAATTGCCAACCTTTTTTACGATTACGTTGCGCAGTCTGATCTAATGGACTGATGACTGATGGACTAACAGTCGCGATCGACCTGTTGGTCACCCCTGATCTACATAATAATAATCTCAGGACAATTCACACAGCGCCATTTAGTCCCAAGTTAAGCTAGCTAAAGCTTGTGTTACGGGTACTAGATAACTGATACAAGTACATAGATTTTTTTTCGTAAATACATACATATTATACATAGAAAACACTCAGACTGATACAAACAATCATACTCATGAATACAAAATGTTTGGGCCGTGCGGGGAATCGAACCCGCGACCATCGGACGCAAAGCGGTGTGCTAGACCGATGGACCACCGAGGTATAAATTCTTTGGCAGTGTTTATCCGCGGCTCCCATTCCAGTGCGGTGCGTCTCAAAGCGAACCCGATACGGACGTAACTCAATACTGTGCGCTAGGAATTCCGCGTTTCTCAATATGATCTTGTCCCATGTTATGATGTCCTGATGCGTTTATTGTTAGCATTTGTTAACCGACTTCAAATATCAAAGACTCGAATCGTCTGTGTCTATTGAGAGTATTGTAGTACGTTCTATAAATCATACGGTAACCATTTACCATCAGATGGGCCGTATGCCTGTTTGCCACCATAGTATAAAAAAAAAACAATTATCAAATGGTATTAAACTATTTTTGATATATACGAATCATTGAGTTATATTTCACATGCATCAATTAATTCGGGTAAAAAGTATGCTATGTTATCTCAGATTTGATCTATTTCTATAGTAAATTTCTTTCGAATCGGTCAAGTAGTTTATGACGAACATGTATATGAGAAAAGATTTTCAATTTTTTATAAACAAAACGGCGGGTAAATCTTAGTCTACGAATTGTATAAAATTAGAAAGATTCCCGTAGACTAATTTGAGTAAGTTTAAAATGATAATTGTAGATGAATCATATTTTAGTCGAGGACACATGTGCTGTTATGAGAATAAATCAAACCGCAATGTACCAGGACTACATAAATACCAGCAGATCAAGAAACACGTAGAAACAAACATCCAAAAACAATATGATGTTCGCGCACCGCGGGGACCCTGTCGCGGGATTACCAGTCTTATAATTATTTTTAGCCCCATGGAAGGGCTTACGGTCGCAACGTAGGATTTGTCGTAAGACTCCGACGTTATTCAATATTATTTCTTGGGAAATTTTCGGAGGGCGACCGTACATGTCGCAGGTATAAAGTATTAAGTGAGATTTAGCGCGGCGCGCGTACCCAGATGAATTAATGATTAACAATGTTTTAAACAGGCGCTCTCTCGCGCTGTCGCTCGTGTGTATCTACATCGGTATCGGATTTTAAATTAACTCGACGCCGCCGTAGTCATTAGCATCGAAATTACTACCATTAGCTATTAAGATTCGAAATGCAATTGATAGCGTATCGCTATACTCTGTTACATTACTTAGACAATGGCAGTAAATCAGGGAAACAGAATTTCAAAATGGTATTCGTGTTCCACGGATCGCTAGTTTAAAATTCAAGCAGATGCAGCGATGGACGCTGGGATTGTTACCAATATCGCTTGAACTGTTCTGAATTTAAATGCAGCAGTGTTTCATTCCGTGCTCGCGCTAGATCGTTCGCTTTCCTTTTTAGTCGCGTCCAATTCCGAATTAATTCAAAGCCTCAATTCAAATCCATCAAGCGCTTTAATCGCAAATCAAAACGATCCACATGTGAGTGTCGACTTTTGTAGTACAACACTGCATTCATTTGTTTCAAATATCGAATATGTACCGATCAGGGTTGAGCCGTTCTGAATTCAAACAGTGGCAGGCGCAGGTGGCGCGCTGTCACCATGCGGCGTTCCATTTCCCGCGCAGCGTAATCGAATGAATATTACAAACGTCATGTTGACAGCTATGCAGTTTCATGCCCGATATGTGGGTCGAATGATCTTTTTACGCCAATTTGAAGCATTGTCCACGACCGGCCGATACGAATCGGATTACGTAAAATAGACGAACATTTTAGAAATGTGCAGTTTATATTCAGAGATTCCCGTAATTCGTTATTTCGACGCTGTTTAAAAATGTATTGGGGAGAACTGTAGAGTTAAAATTGACATGTCCCGACCTATACCGGAACTGTTTTACAGGGAACCCGTAATGAAAGCACTTAGCGCTAAGCGAAGCAATTATAAGTAATTTGGAACGCGGTAATGGGCGTGGACAGCGATGCGCAAAAACGCGCTAAAAGCTCTCTAATTCGATTGTCGACGGTTACTTTTTAAAGTTCGAACTCTGGAAAGTGCTGGCTGAAAATAAATCTTCCAATTTTGAATTTTCAAAACGCGACGAGCGCCGGGGGAATATCAAAATAAACTCGGAAATAAATTCTTGTCTCAATAATTCAGACGGTGGGCTAATTGTAAAAGGTTTGCCGAAGCTGTAATTAAAATTCGCACTTGTAAGTAATTCAAGAGGATCGTGTCGGAAATTCGTGGAATTCATAGTCATAAAGAAAGTAGGATTCGGCTCGGCTCACAGAGAATGAAACAGAAATACCAGGCTCAGGAGACTTTGCGAGCGTCACCTGAACTGCGCCGAACGGAGCGCCTTCTTCGGCTTGGTGATTTATGGGCGCGGATCCGGACCGGTAATGAAATTGCACCCCCCCGCACCCCCGGCCGACCCTCCTGCGCGAAAAGCCATTCTAGAAATTACTACGCAACAGTGAGTCGTGCACTCGACTGTTTCAACTGGCAACTCTTCAATATCGTCTTATGCTAATGGTATACGTTTTTTGCTGCAAAATTCATCAATCTCGCAATGCGATCGTGTGTCGGATTTGTATGCGTCGACTGGCGTTACGTAATTGTTTTCAGACCTTAGATACGGTGTTTGTGCCCTTTGAAAGCGCGCTTTGTCTACGCAATGAAAAATTTATTGCTCTCGCGGGAAATTTTAATTGAAAAGCCCGACAACGGAGCCCGCCGCGGCACAATTCCGCGGAACTGCGAGTGTGACGTTTCACAACCACATTGTGGCTGTTTTTTAAAAACTTCTATACAATAGCAACAGTGTGTAGGCATTTTACAGCAATTTCAGCTCGCAATGTGAATTTAGAGCTTCAATGCAACGAACGCGGGAACAAATGGCAATGGAATTCTATAAACATTCTCATATTTACAGCACAAAAGTTTATTATTATTACTGAAAGTTTCATTCCTTCATTCTATGTTTAAGTCTGGATCGCGGGAGAATTGTGTACACGAAACAAAATCTTCGTTACTTTAGTAGTGTTATTGCGATGTAAATTATTAATCTATGTGATCTGATGATCCCTTTCTCTCTAACATCTTTATTATTATATCATCACTAGCGTTCGCTCGCTTTAATTTATCCCCTTAGGGGTGGAATTCATCAAAATCCTTTCTAAGGGGATGCCTACGTCATAGTAGCTTTATGCATGCAAAGTCTCAGCCCGATCGGTTTAAAATTGACAAAGTTTCATACAAAGTTTCATCCCTATTTTATCCCTTTGGGGGTAGAATTAATCAAAATCCTTTCTTAGCGGATGCCTACGTCATATTCGCAAGCCAAATTTCAGCCCGATCCGTCCAGTGGTTTGGGCTGTGCATTGATAGATCACTATGTCAGTCACCTTTGAGTTATATATATTATTGTCATTTTATTATACATATTACATTATTTTACAAGAATTTAAAGCAAGCATTTAAAGTTTTATTTTTAATTTATTTAAATATTTTTTTCTTTTAAAGTTTTAAATTTACACAGAATTTCGATAATGATTAGACGGCGTGGTTAATTTAATTGACTTATATAAAAGCAGGCAATTCTAGCTTCTAATTTTGAAAAATGACAATTTCTAAGCATTCAAATTCAATTACAATAAAATCTTGTTTTCCTTATTGTGATGTTGGACAGCCAGCAAGCTGACTGGCTACGTGATGGTAAGTGGTAACTGTCGCTCATGTACAAGAACAATACTATATAAGGTCATGTTGTTACCGAAATATAATTTAACAAAACAAACTGTTTGGCCATTGAAATAGATGAGACAGATACGCAGATGACTTTATACAAAGTTACTAAAACTTCTAGCACAATGAAGAGTTACTAAATTCATCTAGAATCTAGAATATTCTATACTGTACTCACCGTTAAGTGCTGAAAGAGCCACGCCCGCAGGATATTCGTCGCGACCTTCGGGAAGATCCCTCTCTTCTTTTGGTTCTTCTTGCCATTCGTGTCATCATCTTCCTCCCCCGTGCCCTCCCCGGAGCCAATACTCGCGTTACTGGCATCTCCTGAGAACAAATATGTGTACTTTTTAATAATCATTATAACTGGCATGTGAGGGAGAGAGGTGTTAAGAGAAGGAAAAAGAACATCAGCTCAATTTATTGTAATGAAGAATTCACAAGGAATTAGTTGGTTTTCATGTAGAGCAGTGGAAAAATCAATTAAATCAATCTTATATTATTATTATAAACGCAAATGTTTGTAAGTATGGATGTTTGTTACTTTTTCACGCAAAAACTACTTAACGGATTTTGATGAATCTTAACAGTAATATAGCTCTTATGCATCAGAATAACGCATGGGCTATATTATTTATTGAAATTTAACGCGGATAAAACAGCGGGCACAGCTAGTCATCTATAAAACTATCATCGTTTTTTTCTTATCCAGGCTCCGGAACTATCAGGATTGAATTTAGTTATGGGACATTAATACAGATAAAAAATACAGATGAAATAATATAATAAATAAGATACAGATTAAAAATAATGAATACAAAAAGCAGAACAGTTATCCAAACATATGTAGATGTACAGACAAGACAAATTTCACGTAATTATAATAATGTGTTAATCGCGAAGTACCAGGCAGTTAGAAATCGCAGGAGATGTCTCGTCTAGCGCTCGCTTATCAGCCGTACGTCTGGCATATTAATTAGAAATGCCAACTTGTATTTATTTAATCACCTGCCACACCACTGATTAGTATCTTTGGTGCCTACACTTAATTGTTTCCAGTGTTGCCACTTTACTGATTTTATACGTAAAATTAAGAAAGTCACTTAAGTTTATCATGTTTTATTTATAATGTTGTTTATTTAAATAATAAACAAAGGAAATGACTGAACTGTTCATTTAAATGTTATATTTTAGAATATATATTTATGTGCTCTTTATTTTTTATACAATATCAACTTAAACTGTGCAGGACACTGTAACTATGTATAAATATACATAATATATTTGTGCTATAACATTTCTTTTGTATTATTTAACGTACATTTTATAAATTATTTTCTGCAATATAGAGTATAAATAAATATTTTCCAAATTTTTCAAATTGTAATTTTGTGGTTGTGATATTTGTTTTTTATGAATATTATTTTGTGTCAACTTTCGACGACCTCGGTGGTCTAGCGGTCTAGCGCACCGCTTTACGTCCGATGGTCGCGGGTTCGATTCCTCGCCCGGCACAAACATTTGTATTCATGAGTATGATTGTTTGTAACAGTCTAGGTATTTTCCATGTGTTATATGTATGTATTTACGAAAAAAATTATCTATGTATTTGTATCAGTCATCTAGTACCCATAACATAAGCTTTAGCTAGCTTAACTTGTGTTTAGGTGGCGCTGTGTGAATTGTCCTGAGATTATTATTATTATTATTATAAATTATTGTTGGCAACACTGATTATTTCTTAGAACGTCTCGTTTTATACGTAAATACCATCGCTGGTACAACTGAGATCGGCGTGAGATAATCCTGATTATGACAAAGTTTAATACCAGTTACATTAAAATAAATAAGTAATGTTAATATATTGAAGAGAATTAACGACCAAGTTATTCCTTCATGTGTTATGCATGAAGTACTTCATGGAGTATTATTGGTTGGTGCAAAAATGTCTGCGTACCACAGACCTCCGATCGATCCCCGTCCAGTTCAAACGGGGATCAATATACGGCGGCCTGAGCCGAGGTACGTACCCCAGCGGTGCCCTCAGACTAAAGTCGTATCTGTCAGGAGTTGGCCTTCAGCTCCATAAGTCCTTCCGCGGGTTTGGAGTGCCATCTGCACTTGCCCCTTATCGTCCGGTGAAGCTGTAAAGGCCAGCTGCAGCCAACAGCATTAGAGTCCGAAAAAAAACCACAGTCTCACCTATGTGAGCCAAGTAGCTTGCTTTTTAAGATAATCATTAAGATAATCATAGTAATATAAGTGAAACTGACATGTACATAGGATATGGTGACTACCGTTAGGTGGGTTACTGTTTACCATCCCGAGTCTTAAAAAGGTACATTTTAAAAGAACTAAAATTGGGTAATTATTAATATTGTCTGTACCTGACTCTTTAGATTAAGAATTTAAGAGAATCTTACGGAAGCTGTGTAAATTATATATCTGTGTATATGTTTGTTATTGGAGAGAAAACAAATAATTACTCGTTATAGTAAAAGTTCTCTTTAAAATATATCGTATATTTTAAAGAGAACTTAAGTTGAGTTCTATATTTATTTGTATCTGAGACAAGAATTTTAGAAAAACATGTGGATACTCTGTTAAGTGCACTAGACATCATCATCAACATCATCTCAGCCCGGAAGACGTCCACTGCTGGACATAGGCCTCCCCCAAAGATCTCCACGACGATCGGTCCTGCGCTGCTCGCATCCAATGCCTTCCAGCGATCTTGACCAGATCGTCGGTCCAAGGTGGACCAACGATCCTTCCTTCCCACTACACTACACTGTAAATTATATATTTGTGAATGTGTTTGTCATTAGAGAGAAAACAAATAAATAGCAGTTGTAGTTATAAAAGAATGGTATATTTTAAACTGTCAAATATGTCTGTACGTTACTTCAAATGAAGAATTTTAAATAGAGAATCTTGCGGAAAATGTGTAAATTATATTACAAACAGAGAGAGAGAGAGAGAGAGAGAAAACAAAGTAAGCTCATCGATTATTTAAATAAAAAAAAGTGAATAAGTTGTTTTCCTAAACCATCCAGGTTTTTCCCTGTATTTGGTGTACGGGCACAAGGTGAGCAGAAGCGTGAAACACGATAAACAAATTAGTGTGCACTGAACCATATCAAATATTCATCGCAACAGAAACAAATCGAATCAGCGCCGGCCCGGGTGTTAACTCCATCTTATTCCTGCGCGCCGTGTACCTACATCTTGTACGCCGTTAATAATAAAACCGAATTTGCTACCTCTCAATTGTTTCAGCAATTATTCTCCCTCGCATTTCCAGAACATTCTGGAATTCGTATTTTTTTAACATGAAATTCCGAGAATTTCCGACTTGCAGCTCGCGTAAGAATTGAATTAGTGATGCGCGCAGTTCGTATTTCGAGAAATATCGATAAAATTTTCGTGAGTGATGAAATTAGACATAATGTATCGAGTGTCTGCGTATCGTATTCGACCGGTGGCATGCACATTGTGATGGTAATAGGGGCAAAGTAATAAAATTACTCTTAGGCCATTACCCGTCGCCCCTCGATGTTGCATGCTACCCCGGCGCGATATAGGGTGTAGAAGACACAATAAAACGGTTTCAGTTTGACAAAAACAACAGGATTATTGTCTGTGTAATTGTTTTATTCGCGTACAGAGATTTATTTTGGCGCGTTTTTATTACGTTTTAAACTTCATGCATACAAATTTCGTTTGAAACGTTACACGGCGGCGGGGTTCTCAACATTTTATAATAGACAAATGTAAACAGTGAGTTCTAAATTTAAATTTGAATTTACGTTAAAATGTTTACGAATTTATTTTTTATTTTGGTATTATTGTATTTGTATTTTGGTCATCCTGTAGTGTATCAGCGTGAAAAATCAGAGTGCAGTTGCATAATGCAGTGTGTGTAATCCACTAAATTCATCTTGGGGCAGCGCACACAGGCGCACCACCCTAATATTCACTAATACACCCCCGATGCCGGCGCACAAACAAACATAGATGCGTGCGAAAGTCAAGAGAATTTAAATTAGTGTAATGTAATAGATAGAGCAAGGATGCAAGGCTCAGTGATAAATGGGTAGATCTCTATACAGGGGTAACAGGTTCAAGAGATAATGCTGTATATCGACAGCCGCGTTAATATATAAGAACGTCTTATCCCAGTGATTTACTATTCCAATTCAAGTTGCAAGGTTGTAAGTTCACATTTGAGCAAAATAAAAAAAAATGTCTGAAAATGAATATTTCGGACTGAGCCTCCGGCGATGGAAACACCAATAACAAACACAAAAAAATCTAAGCATATAAAGTGTAGCATTCATCATGGCGTAAACAGTTGACTAGTCCATCTGAGATAACAGTCTGAAGGTTCTAATTTCAAAGTTTTGTTTTATCATAAAGCACACCGCTTTATTTCCGATGATTGCGGGTTCGATTCCCCGAACGGCGCAAACGTTTGTATTCACGAGTATATTTGTTTGTATTGGTCTGGGTGTTTTCTATGTATATTATGTATGCATTTACTAAAAAATCTAATATATCTATTTTGACGGGACTTTTTTTGCCAGGTAGCTGATGTAATAAGGAATAACTTAGGCTACTTTTATTAAAATAAAGTTAAATTCCACGCGGACGTAGTCGCGGGTACAGCTAGTTTAAAACAAATATTAAAACGTTTTCCTCCCGGAGCACGTCTGGTTATTATAAAATGCTCGTACCCAGTCACCTGTCCATTGTCTACAGCATAATTTAAAAAGAAAACCATTTCAAGGTACACGACAAAAATAGAAAATCACCTGTTCTCTTGTCTCTGGCTGTTTGTTTTAAATATAAATTTATAAAAATAACCTTTATAGATGTTGTTTTTTCGTACTTTCATGTGGAGTAAACTGGTTTTTAACTGTATATTTGATTTGTCAATGGAAGAAATAGGAAGAGAAATAAACTTACTAAAAGTATGTTTGTATGATCATTTTTTTCTACCACTAATAATAATAATAGGACAATTCACACAGCACCATTCAGTCTCAGGCCAAGCAGAGCTTGTATTATGGGTACTAGATAACTACTAGAAATAGAGAGATAATTTTTTTTGTAAATACATAACAATAATACTTCTCGACAATTTACACAACGTGAACTAGTCCTAACCTAAGCAGAGCTTGTGTTATGTGTACTAGATAACTGATATAAATACATAGATATTTTGTTTTGTAAATACATATCTAAATATATATAACTCAAAGGTGACTGACATAGTGATATATCAACGCACAGCCCAAATCACTGGACGGATCGAGCAGAGCAGA